TATCAATCACTACAAGTGTCACTGTATCACCACCTTTGTGACGCTATATCAATAACTACAAGTGTCACTGTATCATCACCTTTGTGACGCTATATCAATCACTACAAGTGTCACTATATCACCACCTTTGTGACGCTATATCAATCACTACAAGTGTCACTGGATCACCACCTTTTTGACGCTATATCTATAACTACAAGTGTCATTGTATCACCACCTTTGTGACGCTGTATCAATAACTACAAGTGTAAATGTATCACCACCTTTGTGACGCTGTATCAATAACTACAAGTGTAAATGTATCACCACCTTTGTGATGCTATATCAATCACTACAAGTGTCACTGTATCACCACCTTTTTGACGCTATATCAATTACTACAATTGTCACTGAATCACCACCTTTTTGACGCTATATCAATTACTAAAATTGTCATTGTATCACCACTTTTAACCGTAGCAAGTTCACTAGTGCTGTGCAAGTTTTAAATGTTCAATATGATGAAATATTTCCAAAGTTTTTGACTGTTTTAGGAAGATAGACACATTTTCTGTTGGTCCATTTAATTTTAGTAGAAGTTTAATACCAGAACTGTTTATATCAGTCGTAAATTCTGAAAAAAGGTGAAAAATAAGTATTTTTGCACTTAGTAAATTGTGGTAGGGGTAACATAAATTGCAGTTCTGAGATAAAAATATTGGTTAATGAAATTTCGCTTCCATAATTTAAAAGAAAATACAATTTTAATCTATTGTGTAAACATTCATAATTCTGATGGCTCACTTGAAAGGTATTGTATGAATTAGGTCTGCATTACGTGTCCCGGTAGTCTGGTGGTACATGTAGGACGCCGGGCTCGTGACCGAATGATTGTTTCAGTCTACTCAGCTGTGAATGAGTACGTGGTTGGGCAGTGCTAGAATCGTTGAATGCTAGCTGTGAGCGCCAAAATGGCTGCAAGATATTGGCTGGGTGCAAAGGCCCTATAACCACGGATAATAATTTGTGAACCGCTTTGAGACAACCTACGAACTAGGTTGTGATAAAGCGGTATATAAGAACCTCGAATTATTATTATTATTATATTATTATTATCAATATTATTATATCATCGTCACTAAAAGTTACACATTATGTTGAATTAGTATGTTTGACCGATCATAACAAACAACGAGCACATGGGCATACAACTTTCTTTGTATTTTCTTTTTTCTTATATCCTCCTTTTTTCAAAAGTCCATATAAGAAAAAATGTTTAATACAAGGGTATTTTACTTCTCAGGGGTGAACTTCCTTACTACTAGTTGGTAATACAGCGGCATTGCCCGTACACACGCGTACCGTCCATGTACCACTTTATACCATTCAGCATTAACCTAGTATAGCAATTACCATGAACGGTCAGTGGTGGGGGACTTGAGAGGTTGACAACAAATGGATTATCAGATGGACGGCCAGGTGACAAGAGACTTTTGAGGAGGATTACATCTATTCTTCTTACCAAACTCAGATGGTTCTAACGTATTACTTGTGTATCCGATTGTTTACAACAACATAAGTACATCTGTTTGTAAACAAACAGGAAAATTTCACCTGGTAATACGAATCTGATCTTGCATCCCGCTGTACTCAACAATAACAAACAATGGTGTTGTTGGAAGTAGGTGAGGCGTAACTAACGTGGTATGGCCACGCGTAAATCGGACACACACATATGTATATATCTATTGTAAATTAACACAATACAGCGGTAGCTCTGTGGAGTTATTGCTGGAGCTAACAGTTCATTGTAATTAACAGCACAGAGAAATATACACATAAAACAATAGAACATTTTACACAGGTTCATCACACAAATATACACCGGTGTTGTTGTAAGTATACCAGGACAGGCGCTGCTGATTTAAATACACCGTACATTCTTGTCACAGGAGGTAACGATGTACCTGAAGTGGGTTTACTGGGCTGGTAGAGAAGTTAGACGGCCGTATTAAGACAAACGATTGGTTCGTTATGGCGTTTAGCATATATCAGGTCAATTTCAGGTACGGTCGAGATCAAACTATAATAAAGACATTAAACGAGACATCATAATTCACATTATCATCAATATTAGCCGTATATGATATACAGATAATTTCTATCTTATCATCAAACGAATAAAAGGCTCGACTTCAGACGGCCATATATTGTAATTCTAATTATCATAGGTCTAAGTTGACATATGCAGCGCCCAAGTACTGACAAAGATACGTGTAACTTGAGAAGAGTGTAATGTTGAAACTCATACCAGTATTTGCATGTGCCTTAGCAGCTGTCCTTAGGTATGGTGCCCCTCTGCGCACTTGTCACACGATCTCTTTACATACACGTATGTATCGATAACATTTTACATGTTTATAGTTGGTAGAGTATGAAAAATATGTGTTTTATGAAGAAATTTGTCCAATGGGGAACAACTAGCCAACATGAAATAACAATGATTTCCTACAAAGCGAAAAATATAACAATATCATTTATTTTTAACAACATATGTAATCAGTTAATAATGACTTCATAAAACCATAACAAATATATCGTAAACTTGAATGGCCTTGTTTCACTATTATGAAATATCTGTCGTCAGCCAGAGGTTGTAAATTTGTGTCTGAATTGGGGATTTTAGAGACGACGTGCCCCTTTCTACATTATGTTTAATGTTTGATCTTTTTATCATTGGTGATTCACTTATCGACTAAACAGTCTTATGGTCAGTAAATGTTTACTCTGTCAAGATTACCATTGTCCTTACTTTGTCTAGATTACAATTGTCCTAACTTTGTTTGTATTACCATTGTCCTTACTTTGTTTGTATTACCATTGTCCTTACTTTGTTTGTATTACCATTGTTCTTACTTTGTTTGTATTACCATTGTCCTTACTTTGTTTGTATTACCATTGTCCTTACTTTGTTTGTATTACCATTGTCCTTACTTTGTCTGGATTACCATTCTCCTTACTTTGTTTGTATTACCATTGTCCTTACTTAGTTTGTATTACCATTGTACTTACTTTGTTTGTATTAGCATTGTCCTTACTTTGTCTGGATTACCATTCTCCTTGCTTTGTTTGTATTACCATTTTCCTTACTTTGTTTGTATTAGCATTGTCCTTACTTTGTCTGGATTACCATTCTCCTTGCTTTGTTTGTATTACCATTCTCCTAACGTTGTTTGTATTACCATTTTCCTTACTTTGTTTGTATTACCATTGTCCTTACTTTGTTTGTATTACCATTGTCCTTACTTTGTGTGGATTGCCATTGTCCTTACTTTGTTTGTATTACCATTGTCCTTACTTTGGTTGTATTACCATTGTCCTAACTTTGTTTGTAATACCATTGTCCTTACTTTGTTTGTATTACCATTGGCCTAACTTTGTTTGTATTACCATTGTCCTTACTTTGTTTGTATTACCATTCTCCTAACGTTGTTTGTATTACCATTGTCCTTACTTTGTTTGTATTACCATTCTCCTTACTTTGTTTGTATTACCATTCTCCTTACTTTGTTTGTATTACCATTGTCCTTTCTTTGTTTGTATTACCATTGTCCTTACTTTGCTTGTATTACCATTGTCCTAACTTTGTTTGTATTAACATTGTCCTTACTTTGTTTGTATTACCATTGCCCTTACTTTGTTTGTATTACCATTCTCCTTACTTTGTTTGTATTACCATTGGGCTTACTTTGTTTGTATTACCATTGGCCTAACTTTGTTTGTATTACCATTGTCCTTACTTTGGTTGTATTACCATTGTCCTAACTTTGTTTGTAATACCATTGTCCTTACTTTGTTTGTATTACCATTGTCCTTTCTTTGTTTGTATTACCATTGTCCTTACTTTGGTTGTATTACCATTGTCCTAACTTTGTTTGTATTACCATTGTCCTTACTTTGGTTGTATTACCATTGTCCTAACTTTGTTTGTAATACCATTGTCCTTACTTTGTTTGTATTACCATTCTCCTTACTTTGTTTGTATTACCATCGTCCTTACTTTGTTTTTACCAAATGTTTGTGTTACGTTAATCTATTAGTACTCAGACTTGTTTTCATTTGTGTGGTATATCGCAATATATATATTCAAACTGGAATATGTATAGCTTATTGTTATTATGGAGTGTATGTATAGCTTATTGTTATTATGAGGTACGTTCATTTAGGGGTTTATACTTAATTTACTAGATCGATGATTTTAAAAGCCCATAAAACTGAGAGTGAAACATCTTTTTCAGGTCCACATCCAAAACGCCACGCTGGCGGGAGGTGTGGCTGTCGGGACCACAGCCAACATGCCACTCGACCCGTGGGGAGCCATGCTGATTGGTTCTGTGGCCGGAATCATTTCTGTCCTCGGATACAAATTCTTCACGGTTAGTTCACATTGTCTGGACACAGTGTATATGTACCGGAAACAGAGAGACTTAATCAGCCGCTTACGAAATGCGCCCCAACAGCGAATAACGAACAACATTGACAAGTGATAGAGCAAATCTTGAATACCGTGATTTGTCCCGGTAGTCAAGGCCCTCAACCAATTGTTCGAACTCGCTTTTCTATTTGCTTTTCTTCCTCTTACTGTTACCAGATCTTATTTTTCGTCAACCAAACGGTTTCCATCCATTTTCTCCGAGTTTTAGTGGTTTTATTGTTAGTAACATGACGAAGTGAATAAGGCTTTCTCCTAAAATCAAGACTCGCTGTGCGCTTTCCAACAAGAATGATTCATACAAGTTACGAAAGCTTGTAGACGTATCATAATTGCTTAAAATAAAGAGATTGTATGTTGTATTATTACATTTGCTCAGAAACTACCGGCTAGGTTCTATTGAAAACTCACTTCTACATTACTAGGCAAGTGTAAATGTGCGTAGTGTGTTTCATTTCCCTTCCAGTTTTCAGACATTATCATCAAGCAAGCTCAGACATACTGTTAAATATTTTAAAGTATGCGCCCTTAACAATATATATATCCCGTATTCCCCAAGTATTCCACCTCTGCCGGCACCTCGTCTACAACATTATCCACTATATTTCTCCCTTTCAGCCATTTCTGGCAAGCAAACTAAAGATCCATGACACATGCGGAGTAAACAATTTACACGGCATGCCGGGAATCCTGGCGGGAGTAGCCGGAGCATGCGCAGCAGCATTAGCAAACTATGACAAATGGGGAGAAAGGTAAGTAAACAAGCATAAAACGGGTGTGAGAAAACAATGGTGTTGATTTATATATTGGATGTTTAGTCTATTTTCAATGATACTTTTGTTTTAAGTGGTACATCACTTTTGTAACATGAACGGGTCGTACATGGTTTCTAAGCAGTCTGGCCAGACGAATTTAACATGTATGTGACATTTTGTCTTAAAAGTCGGTTGTATACTTTCAGTCTGTTTTAAATGTAAATTTCTTCTGTTTTCAGTTTATTTGAGATCTTCCCCGGGATCGCCCCTACATACAACTCGACAGATTATACCAAGTACCACGACGGCCTACAGTCGGGTTGGAGTGCGGGGTTAGGACGTACTTCACACGAGCAGGGTGGATATCAATTTGCGGCCCTGGGCGTTACTCTAGTAATAGCTATCGTAGGGGGAGCGCTGACTGGTAAATATCAAATTTCATTTGTGCATTTGTTTTCACATTTTTGATGAATTTTCTGACAAACGTTTTCTTTGGAAATTATCATTCCATTCAGTCGAAATACTGCGTTAGAAGTATCTGTCTATATAATCATTATAAAGCCACATTCACCATTGCGCCCTCCATCCCGCTGTTATATGTTTTGAACTCAATATGACAACTGACACCTCCAAACATATCGCCTTGCCTTCACATCGCCCGACTATAACCTTTTAAAGTCTCCGTTTTCATTTAATATTCTCAATTCTTTCATTTATATTCAATATATTGCCAACTCTTTTTTTATTACCAAATGCTGTTTACACACTGCGTGTACTGTTTACACACTACGTGTACTGTTTACACACTGCGTGTACTGTTTACACACTACGTGTACTGTTTACACACTACGTGTACTGTTTACCTTGTAGGCTTGCTGATGAAACTACCCTTGTGGGACAACCCCAGAGGTGACGGGCTGTTTGATGATGGCGATTTCTTTGAGGTTGCGGAGCAGGGTTTCCCCTCTTCCGGGGAAGGTGGAATGAACGGAATCAAGGAGGATACTCGAATGTAAGGGACACATCTCGACTGTCCTTATACGATAAGGGACAACACCCTTCTCGACTCTCCTTATATATAAAATATAGTCCCAGAATGGAGGTCCTAGATGATGAAATCCTCACTACCGGATATTTTACACAGTTTTATATACGCATAATAATGAATATAACCCTATTTTTTTTTATATTTTAAGACTTGATTGACCTTCCTATACGCTCATTAGTTTATCATACGAACAGTCGTCTTCCATTGATACTGACATTGTAGTGTTATAGTTACGTACACCCAGTACGTCAACACACGGTAGCCCAAGCTCCATGTTATCATGGTAGCCCAAGCTCCATGTTGTCATGGTAGCCCAAGCTCCATGTTGTCATAGTAGCCCAAGCTCCATGTTATCATGGTAGCCCAAGCTTCATGTTGTCATGGTAGCCCAAGCTCTGTGTTGTTATGGTAGCCCAAGCTCTGTGTTGTCATGGTAGCCCGAGCTCTGTGTTGTCATGGTAGCCCAAACTCCATGTTATCATGGTAGCCCAAGATTCATGTTGTCATGGTAGCACACGCTCTGTGTTGTTATGGTAGCCCGAGCTTCATGTTGTCATGGTAGCACACGCTCTGTGTTGTTATGGTAGCCCGAGCTTCATGTTGTCATGGAAGCCCAAGCTTCATGGCGACATGGTAGCCCAAACCCCATGTTATCATGGTAGCGCAAACTCCATGTTATCATGGAAGCCCAAACTCCATGTTATCATGGTAGCCCAAGCTTCATGTTGTCATGGTAGCCCAAGCTTCATGTTGTCATGGTACCCCAAGCTCTATGTTATCATGGTAGCCCAAGCTCCATGTTGTCAACGAAGCCCAAGTTCCATGTTGTCATGGTAGCCCAAGCTCTATGTTGTCATGGAAGCCCAAGTTCCATGTTGTCATGGAAGCCGGAGCTCCATTATGTCGTGGTAAAGTTGTCCTGAATCTTCAAATTTTTAAAGCAAAGTTATTTATTCACAACTTGTACCTCAGAATTCCGTACCACAATACATGTTTACATTTTACAATGTGCTCACATTCCATACACAACAGTCTAATAATTCCGTACCCCAGTACATGTTTACGTTTTACAATGTGCTCACATTCCATACACAACAGTCTAATAATTCCGTACCCCAGTACATGTTTACGTTTTACAATGTGCTCACATTCCATACACAACAGTCTAATAATTCCGTACCTCAGTACATGTTTACATTTTACAATGTGCCCACCTTCCATACACAACAGTCTAATAATTCCCTTCAAAATGTGAAGTATCACCTTGTGATGATTTACCTTTACCGTTTATACACAGGAAGGGTACAGGTTCTGTATAATAACCGAGAAGGAGGAGTACAGGTCTGAATATATCACAACCGGGTGAAAACTCGTGGCGAAATAACCATGATAAATATTGGAGTCATGCGGTATATACCGAAAAAAGGCAGACAACTTTTTAGTTCATAAACAATGAATATTTATTAATTGCTGATTAAACAGAATAATTTTGCCCAAAACACAAAATTGCTCACGTATTCATCGCCAAGCAACTTCAACCAATCAGACGTTAGAATGACAATATCGTGCCAAACAGTGTGGTATACGACGTCATCACTTTATGTGTTGCCTGTTTTAAAGTTAAACGATTTAACCTGGAAAGTCTAGCATTGGGGAAAAGTCTAACTGGAGTTATACGAAGCTGATGTATTGAAATAGGACAATTGTAATTGGCATTTAGTGATTATTCCAGCACGTTCTTTTATTGAGAACATCTCCTAAAAGGTATATTACAGAAATATAGCCTATTCGACGACTTCATACCGAGGCTGTAAAAATGTTGACGTCACATCAACTTATTTCCTTGAAGCATTGCATCAGCATCCTTTTGAGTTGACAATGACATTGAGCTTTTTGACACACATTTTTATACATTTATACACTATTTTACACAAATCATTTTTTTTGTATAGCAGATGTAAAGTATATCTTGTACCTACCTTAGCATATTATTCTCAATACTCAATTCATTCTCATTAATATATACATGTAATAAGCATTATAAACTGATATATTTTGTATTATTTGCCTACAATTTTCTTCAATATCTGTATATTATCATAGTTATTAATCACTCCTACATCGCATCGAGAACTTAATATTTTTTACTTTTTTAGCATGAATAGTTGGTCGCAAATTAAATATTTCGCATATCTATTTTAATTATGTTTGTCTGATTTACTTCTCTATCAACGTTAGGGCGTTTTTCTACAACGAATCGCTAAACTTAGCTAGTATTTAGGTTAATAATGCAAAGAACTTTACAACATTTTGGTAGGTGGTGGGGTTCAACATTGTCGAGGACATTAGTGTAAGTCGAAAATTGACTGACTTTCGGAACCGTTTCTTACAGTTAAAGGATCATTTCGAAAACTCAAGAGGAGTACAGGATGGCGTAATGCAACATCAACGCTTCTTAGATATGCATAATTATGTAGTGTTTACTATCATAATAGCATTTTAATTTATTTGTCTTCTTTTAAAATATATTGTTCCTATGTAGGCTCAGAGAATGACTCTTTGTCACTATTTACGACGAAGTTAGATGTCACTATAACTCTTACGTTCAAAACCAGCCAGTTAAATCACTTAAATTATCATGAAATCTTCTTCATTTTTTTGAATGAGCATCAAAGTTATCGACATTCTCCATCTTGAAACCGAGGTTCAGTTTTCAGAAAAAGTGTAAGAGTTTGCTGTGATAAGTCAAACAAACGTGCCTCAACCTATTAACAGAACAGATATTAACAGAAACCCTGTCTTTGTTTGTAATTCCAGGGGAAAGAATGACTGTTTAACATTGTGTTTATATATTTACAACCTATGGTGCTGTGTTTGATTTTCGGAAATAATTCTAATCTTTTATTTTGTATTCCCAATTTAACATCATCTTTCATATGTCACATGTAAACAACGAACTCAAATCTATTGTCATCTATTTACAGATGTAGATGTAGTCAGTACTATTATCAAATGTACTAATTGCTTGGGATAATGAACAGTTTGAATGCAATGACATTATCGTTTTTATATCGTTGAAATCCAATCTAGATTATCTTTTAAAGTTATGATATTTGTTCAGTTCTCAGTATTTACGCTGTCAATAAAGCAGGCTCAGTAATTAGGCTGTCAATAAAGCAGACGTATATTCTCAGTAATTAGGCTGTCAATAAAGCAGGCGTATGACTGTCAATAAAGCAGGCGTATGTTCTCAGTGATTAGGCTGTCAATAAAGCAGGCGTATGTTCTCAGTAATTAGGCTGTCAATAAAGCAGGCTCAGTAATTAGGTTGTCAATAAAGCAGGCTCAGTAATTAGGTTGTCAATAAAGCAGGCGTATGTTCTCAGTAGTAAGGCTGTCTATAAAACAGGCGTATGCTCTCAGTAATTAGACTGTCAATAAAGCAGGCACATGTTCTCAGTAATTAGGCTGTCAATAAAGAAGGCATGTGTTCTCAGTAATTAGGCTGTCAATAAAGCAGGCGTATATTCTCAGTAATTAGGCTGTCAATAAAGCAAGCGTATGTTCTCAGTAATAAGGCTGTCAATAAAGCAGGCGTATGTTCTCAGTAATTAGGCTGTCAATAAAGCAGGCTCAGTAATAATGTTGTCAATAAAGCAGGCTCAGTAATTAGACTGTCAATGAAGCAGGCGTGTGTTCTCAGTAATTAGGCTGTCAATAAAGCAGGCGTATGTTCTCAGTAGTAAGGCTGCCTATAAAACAGGCGTATGTTCTCAGTAATTAGGCTGTCAATAAAGCCGACGTATATTCTCAGTAATTAGGCTGTCAATAAAGCAGACGTATATTCTCAGTAATTAGGCTGTCAATAAATCAGGCGTGTGGTCTCAGTAAAAAGCCGGCTGTCAATAAAGCAGACGTATATTCTCAGTAATTAGGTTGTCAATAAAGCAGGCGTATGTTCTCAGTAATTAGGCTGTCAATAAAGAAGGCGTGTGTTCTCAGTAATTAGGCTGTCAATAAAGCAGGCGTGTGTTCTCAGTAAAAAGCTGGCTGTCAATAAAGCAGGCATATGTTCTCAGTAATTAGGCTGTCAATAAAGAAGGCGTATGTTCTCAGTAATTAGGCTGTCAATAAAGAAGGCGTATGTTCTCAGTAATAAGGCTGTCAATAAAGCAGGCGTATGTTCTCAGTAATAAGGCTGTCAATAAAGCAGGCTCAGTAATTAGGTTGTCAATAAAGCAGGCTCAGTAATAAGGTTGTCAATAAAGCAGGCTCAGTAATTAGACTGTCAATAAAGCAGGCGTGTGTTCTCAGTAATTAGGCTGTCAATAAAGAAGGCGTATGTTCTCTGTAATTAGGCTGTCAATAAAGCAGACGTATATTCTCAGTAATTAGGCTGTCAATAAAGCAGACGTATATTCTCAGTAATTAGGCTGTCAATAAAGCAGGCGTGTGTTCTCAGTAAAAAGCCGGCTGTAAATAAAGCAGACGTATATTCTCAGTAATTAGGCTGTCAATAAAACAGGCGTTATTCTCAGTAATTAGGCTGTCAATAAAGCAGGCGTGTGTTTCAGTAAAAAGCCGGCTGTCAATAAAGCAGACGTATGTTCTCAGTAACTAGGCTGTCAATAAAGCAGACATATATTCTCAGTAATTAGGCTGTCAATAAAGCAGCCGTATGTTCTCAGTAATAAGGCTGTCAATAAAGCAGGCGTATGTTCTCAGTAGTAAGGCTGTCAATAAAACAGGCGTATGTATTCAGTAATTAGGCTGTCAATAAAGCAAGCGTATGTTCTCAGTAATTAGGCTGTCAATAAAGCAGGCTTGTGTTCTCAGTAATTAGGCTGTCAATAAAGCAGGCGTATGTTCTCAGTAATAAGGCTGTCAATAAAACAGGCGTATGTTCTCAGTAATTAGACTGTCAATAAAGCAGGCGCATGTTCTCAGTAATTAGGCTTTCAATAAAGCAGGCGTATGTTCTCAGTAGTAAGGGCTGTCAATAAAACAGCCGTATGTATTCAGTAATTAGGCTGTCAATAAAGCAGGCGTATGTTCTCAGTAATTAGGCTGTCAATAAAACAGGCGTATGATAATTCTCAATAATTAGGCTGTCAATAAAGCAGGCGTATGTTAATTCTCAATAATAAGGCTGTCAATAAAGCAGGCGTATGATAATTCTCAATAATTAGGCTGTCAATAAAGCAGGCGTATGTTAATTCACAATAATTAGGCTGTCAATAAAGCAGGCGTATGTTAATTCTCCATCATTAGGCTGTCAATAAAGCAGGCGTATGTTAATTCTCAAAAATTAGGCTGTCAATAAAGCAGGCGTATGTTAATTCTCAATAATTAGGCTGTCAATAAAGCAGGCGTATGCTAATTCTCAGTAATTAGGCTGTCAATAAAGCAGGCGTATGTTAATTCTTAGTAATTAGGCTGTCAATAAAGCAGGCGAATGTTAAGAATTTAAATGTCACAGAAAACAATCGGATGTTTCTTATTCCAGCTATTGATAAATTATATATTTTCCTTCATATAAAAAATATCTATATTAGTAATAAAAGACTATTGTCGATATCAATTTATCAACGATAAATCTATCTTTAGGAAAAACTGAATTTCGGAATGAATACCTAAGACAGGTTTTTATTTTACGAGCAACTTTTTTATATGACACAAGTATATTTTCTTCTTTGTATATTGATAAAGTCGAGCACTTTTCCCACTCATATATGGAGTGCACAAAAGTCCGGAAAAAGGTTTTGCTGTATCTAAGTGATTCCTCTTTCCAGGAAATATTTCTACGTTATTTTCTGCATCAATGCTATCATTTTCTTTTCAGTCACTTAATGGAAAAAGAGTAGACAAGATGTAGTAAGTGGTTTCAGTATATCCCCCGGGCTGGTGTGTGTAATGTGGTAGTGTGACGTCACGGCACGGAATCCTCCGAATCAGATACAAGTAAGTTCCAAGTGTCAAAACGAAACGAAAGAGTATAGACTGACCTTCTCAGACACAAGGCATGAATGACAGCAATTATATGAATGATATAAAAATCAAATAATGCAATTTATTAAACACGACAACGAAATAAATTCACTAAAATCGAAACGAAGAAATAAGTAAAAAATGTATAATAGAAGTACATCTGCCCC